ATCAACTCGCGCCTGTGCCAACGTACTTCCGTTGTAAAATGAGCGACATCATTCTGAACAACATGTTAAGCGTTGCTCGGGGAGCTCTGGCTAAGTGACCAAAGCGTAAGCTGTTTACCATTGTGACAGGTTCCACTCTCAGCTCAGGGTATGTCTACCTGACGAGTCCAGATCAGGACGAAACCACTCTGTCGTGAAGTGCAGTGTTTGGAGAAAGAATATGCAAAAGTCTTCAGCAGTCGGAATATCCGAGCAAAAATATTGAGAAAACAGACTGTATGAGGAATCAATGTTCGTGAGCTCCCTCAACATAAATGGGAACAGACAGATGAGCGATATGTGTGATTCGAAATTCAATTGGACAGGTAGCAATGACAAACACGGTGAGAGTTGGCTAATACGATCCTAAATTCCCACTGTCATACCGTTCTCGGCAGTTGTGCACCTGTGTATGTTCCTCAAGTGAGTTGAGTTGGACAGTCAAAACACGCTTATGGTATGGACGTCGAAATGGGAGCATCCATTATGTGGCAGAAAGAAAAGAACATGGCAAGATGGAAAGAGCAGAGGATCTGTTGCGGAACGGCATAAGGTCCGGCAACAATCACGGAGTGTCTGTTGATTTCAACCCAGCTCGGAAGCAACGTGATCACATGCGACATGTAGCCGTGGTTTGAAAATGAACGATACTTTTGTGGTTTGCCTCCCCATAACAAAAGCATAGATTGCACTGGACAAGTAAAAAAATATCAGAGACAGGAGCCAGAACTGAATATACTCACCTGCATTTGTAGGAGCCTTCGTAAAACAACAACACATTCGGCCACAACCCTATCTGGAGGAGGTAAATGGTAAAAACACACGCAGAAAGAATTTCAAAGTAGAGTGAAAGTACGTCGGTATCGAGCATAGCGGTGCAGATTAGTACATTTAAAACTGAGCAGTATGAGTAAGCTGAGACAGTGTTACTGTAATTTAAGTTCAGTTATTCCAGGTATAGTGACGGTTAACAAAAAAGCGGGGTGATTCAAAGGAAGGTTGAATGGACTTATGGTCACTAATATTAAAAACTGAAGCCTCGGGTAATCCCACCGGTAGTGATCCGACTAAGGGAAGCATGTGAGAACTTCAAGGAAGCTGAGTCCTTACGGTGGGGAAGCTAAGGGATCGCTCGTTACAGTAAGGCTAAACTAGTGCGGACAGAAAAAACGCTCAGTCGTTGAGCGACGCAGAGCGTGTATGCAGTACTGTCGTCTCCATTAAAAGCAACCAATTCGAGGCAAAGACTGTAGCTTGAACAACATAAAATCTACGTACAAAACTGAGATTTTTAATGGTGTGCTTACCATCCGAGCGAGACATGAGTCGAACGAGACCGTTCAAACACACATCGGACATCTGCGGTATAGCACTTGCGCAACGACCGATCGCTTGCACAGTGGCTATAACGAATTCGGGATCTGGGCTAGAGGCGTAATACTGAAGGATGAGGAAAAAAGCGAGCGAAGATCGTGAGAAGATTCAGGGGGACAACAACCATGGAGCAGAGAATCCGGGTGCAAATGTGGGCAACAAAAACACGAGACCGCTCAGAACAGGATAAGGCGGAAGCGTAATCGGTAGCAAGGGAAAAAAAGGGGACCGACAAGAAATTAAGTACGGATTCCAACCGTAGGTCCAATTTCCACATCCGATAAGTTCGAAAACTACAGTATGAAAAGTGTAAAGCTAAAAAGGTTTGGGCAAATAACGAGTTGGATGAAATAAGACGGATAGGTTCCGTTGCGGTAAGTATAACTGGTAGGCTACAAACAACCTCATGGCTATAATCGAGAGCGATGGGCAACTAAAGCGGACTATTAAGAAGACAAACAAAACGGGTCGAGGAAAATAATCACAACCGTAAAAACGGAGATAAACGTCGGCAACAATGAATCGAGTGCAAGTGCGGCTGCATTCTGAAATCGTCATTTCCAATATGGCTGTTAACCGTTGGTGTGGCTAGTTTCAAGATTCTTAGTCAAAAAGACGAGAAGCATGAAGTAGACTCCACCAGCTGAGGGACTGATTCGTTCACCGAGCTGATCAATCCGACTACGGACGTTGTACAACGAACCGAGGTGACATCTCCAGTGCACAACAACAAGAGCTAAGCGACAGACAAATTCAGAGATAGATGCCGTTAAGTATGGGGCTGTCTCCTATATACATTTCAAACGTTCGCAGCCTCGATTATCCAGACCGGTTGCCTCTTTCGGCACTTATGGATACTTAAGTGACCTCTGTTAGCTAATTTGAAGCCTGAAGCGATGTAGGACAGCTCCAAACAGCCTCATTTGCACAATGGCCATATTCCGTAGAGAATACAATTACGAAAGCTGTCCTGTTCGTTCCTTGACCTGCGTCAGTCCAAGTTGCAGTTTCCAAATCGACGAATCTCGATGGAAATCTTTGGTACATAGAGTCAAGGTCAATGTACGTACCAAACATTGACAACACCTCGATTGGTGGCAAAACGTATGCAATCAAATTGCACAGTTCGGGAAATCATTGAACAGCTCAACTGCCAAGCCGTTACAGGTACTCTGACTGATTGCAAATTCAATCAATCCTTCAGTTTCCTCATGTCATTCTATGCCGTCATTGAGTAGCCACTTCCAAGCTTTACTTGGCTATGCGCAGTATCCGCTTGAGAATGACGGCACCTACTCAGCTCGAGTCCGAAAAGTAGCGCAATACGGTGTCGTGTAAAATGTGGTCCAATACTCATACTTTGCTCCTATATGTAGTAGGATGCAAAGTTATGAATGAAACGCTCAGAAGGACTGACCAATAGCTATATTTTCAAAATATAGTGGTCATGTTTCTGATCCACACAGCGCCAAAGAGAGCACCCAGGATGACACTTAGTCCAATTGCTCTATACAGGGCTGAAATCATAGCGCCTGCGAAGAGTGACGAGGAATCGGACCGTCACATGAGCCAGGCCGAGATGTTCAGAAGCCAAGGTGAACTCACCACAAAGAAAAGCACATGTACAAATTCAAATGAACTGACAGACCAATAAGTGGTTTTACCGTAATAACATGAAGTAGGGACGCTTACTCATGCATCAGGTAACCGAAGTTGTCAAGTTAATGCCAAGGCAAGCATTGCGCCGGAGTAGCTTAGTAGAAACGGCTTCATGTGCTCTTGGTTCCAAGAACAAATTTTTTCCTTATCGCAATTGTTAGTCCCTCTCAGATGAATGTGATCGAAACATACAACTGTGTTCCTTTGCAAATCTTGGCATTTGGACGAACTAGAGAAAGCAAAGTGTTGAATATATATATATATATATATATATATATATATATATATATATATACATGAATTTGTCCCTTGCTGAGGCTGAAGTTGCATTCATGATGCTTGTTCATCGCAGTTGGGCTAAACCAACTTACACTTAAACTAGGTCTTTTTAATTTGGATAAATTTCATTCCACTTTATCTGGTTTGTTCTGCATAGCTGAATAATCTTCTATTAACTGGCCATGTTGCTTACGCTAATAGTGGTTATCTTTGTTAACTTTATTGTGTTTGTAGCATTTTTTGAGTAACTGCTGGACATTTTGTACTTATCGCGGATTCGTTGCTAACCAAGTTACTTCATATGCTAATTTAGCGAAGAGTTATATCTGCATAGCCGTATACTTTACTAGATATATTTTATTTGATAATGTCATTTCAAGTGATTGGCTGTTGTTTGACATCCCTGGTGTGGCTGCACTTGATGTCCATACGGACAAGGTGCCTACCTGTTTTATTACCCACTACCTCGTCCATAATGGCTCTAGGAGACAGTTGGTCGTTGCTGGAGGGGACGGGGTGCACGGTCCTTGTGGTCGTGCTAGGCTCGATGAGTGGTTCCATGCACTCAGTGTGGAGCGGACTAAGGTACAGCCACCGTCTTGTGTGCGACTGATACCCAAATATAACGTGCTTGTGTTTGCCTGTGAAGGAGTGTGGCCCGGCTCCGTTGATGAAACGTGGCTTCCATCCACCTACCTCCCAGTCTTATTCCTTCGGGTTTACACTGGATATGGGGGTGTGCTGATGGAGCTGTGGGTGGTGCAGCGCAAGCCATCCATGGTCCCTCTGTAGGCGCAGGCGTCCTGTGGCTGGCCACGATGACAGGCAAATCCGAAACCGGATGCCGCCAACCATACTACACTTAGGCAATATATAAATGACAGAATATCACAACGTATTGGTAACAGCAAAAGAGAGAAAGAGAGAGAAAAGACAGTCAGGGGAGAAAGTACAAAGTATATCTGATACTGTGTACAATCGCGTGTGCTCAATGTCCATGGACTGAGATCACGCAGGCATCGGAGAACGACAAAGGCTATTCTGGTTTAGGATATCCGCTCATAAGAATGCAACTCCCAAGGCGAACAGAATTGTTGACTATTTCCAAAGAACAGTCAGAGAGAGTAAGAGTAGGAGCAGTTTCTAACTAGTGCTGACGGAGACATTGTTCTCGAAGTGGCAAAGGACATCCCAAGCTGTGGTAGGGCTATCTCTAATTCGCACAATCTGCGAGAAGTCACAGATTACGGCGATGTCGTCAGCACACTCCAAGTCACAGAGCCGATCAACCGGGAGTACTCGGACGCATTATGCTCAATTTTCCAGAGCACTCTAAGATGCCTGACATAGCGAAGCTGAATGGGAAGGGTAATGCGAGGCAACCCAGTCTCACACCATTGGTGATATTGAATGGAAGCGAAAGTCGGCCGTGCACCCGCACTTGGACCGAGAGTAAATAGCTTAAAAAAGGCTAACATATTTATCGGGCACTCCCCTTCTCAACCTACAACTCCAGAGAGTAGCACGATCAAGTAAGTAAAATGCGAAACCCATGTCCAATAAGCAAAGGATGGTAGTCCGACTAAGAGCTCAAAGGTGTTTGAGCACATAGCGAATCGGCAAGATGTGATCGATGCAATGCTGATCTGACCATCGGTTCCTAGAAACCGTGCACGGAGTGAAAGAGGAAGGAACCTCTCTGTGGTAGTAACTGAAAGTAAATTGCGTCGGGAGCAGATGCAAGTATGGAGGTCAAAGATGATCTCGAAATCGAGGATGACATGCGCGAGTGATCTAATGCTGGCGTTTGAAGAGATGTGATTAGTGCACTCACCACCGAGGGGGACACCACTCTTGCTAATTCGACGATCTTAGTTACAAGTAAGGCAGCGCAAGATAGTTGGCGGTAATGGCAGTAAGATCAATTATTCGGTAAGCGATGACATTGTCCTAAGGAGCGTTGAGAGCGGGCAATCAACTTTTATCGGTAATGATAGATAAACGATGTCAGAATGAAGTGAACTGTTCCGCTGTGACAGAAACAGTACCTGTCCGATCGGAAAGATAGTAGAAGCTGACGTTTAAACACCAAGAAAGATGCAGAGAGCATCCCGGCTAACAATTCTGACAGCGTTATTTGGCTGAAGCACACTAAATTTGTAGAAGACGTGTTAAAGAGTAAACAAATCAACAACTGTCCTTTCTCAGTTCTTGTCTCACAGCTACGAAGTTGGACAGTATGCAAGTGGTCATTTACCGAAATGGGTTGGAGCTGGGTTCTTAAGCGTAGCAGGTAACAGTGACTTAGACGCCGCAAATGTCACTACTCACAAGTCAATTAGTCCCCGAGGACAGTGTGTTTGCATCATGAATTGAATGCATCAAGGGTAGCCACATAGCGAGACCGCTATCTTGCATGTGTCGGCCTAGGGAAACACACGAGACTCATCGATCCAACGAAAGTAGCACCAGTTGATCTCACATGAGACGCGACCGTCGTTGTATAACGAAACTGCTTTGAGTTTTCAGAATGCGCTGATTCAAGGTATACATACATCCTAGACGATGGAGTACGCTTAGAACAATCAGTAAATCTACCTAACTGTTTCACTGAGCATGAGAATTATGAGATGGCCGAATGCGATCTAGTGTTTCAGATTTCTAGTGCTTTGCAACCCCACGCCTGCAGAATAACTTTCATACCCTACGATCATCTTGCGAGAAGTTTTTATCCTAGACTCGTTGTGCTCGAAATCGCAAGTATGGTCGAACACAAGAAACCAACGCGAAATCGATCGATCACGCGTCATATCACGGATGACCCGGTGAATCGTGCAATTAAGAGCAGGCCGCGCTATATGGCAGTTATATATCAGTCATCGTGGTCCGTCGACATTACTCATGGTTTAAGGGCACGAGTCAGCGGCTCGGATGAGTACGGTCATGGGTTCGGATCCAACAGCATTCGGAGGGTGCGCGCTACAAACGATTCCCAATGGAATCAAACGGTTATCTAGAACTTCTCTGGATGTGTGGTGGCTGTCTGGCTGTGTTTAGCTACAACGAATCTTCGGAAATCAGATAAATATCCCTACCAAGCGCTAGGAATATATTAACATAAATGAAATAACGTAAACGAACAAAGAAAAAGGTAACAATAATAGCAATATGGTAATATAGGAGTTTCAAGCGTGCTTTGACCTGCAATACCCAAATTTCACCTGATGCATTGGAGGAGTGGACATTGTAGCCATCTCGTTTAGAGAAGACCACTTCAGAACACAAGACTTAAAGTTTGAAAGTACTGTTAAAATAGGTAACGGATGGATATAACAACAGGTCAAATACAAACAAAACATTGTCAGTTTTAAGGGGACTCAGTGGTGCAGCAGATGCTTAGACTGCCTTAGACCGGCTGTGACATCCGAGTGTGGAAACATCGCTGAAGGTGTCAAAGTGTGGAGTTAGTCCAAATAACCGCAGTACTCGAATGCCCAAAAACATCCAGAACAGGCATATAAGAAAAGATATTGAAGTTCGTGGGACAAAGTCATAGTATCACAGAAGCGGTACATAAGGATACCGCATAGCTGCATAAATGCTCTATGGTACCGACCGACTGGGTGACACAGTGCAATCGAAAACTGGAAAAACCAGTACACAGACCTGAAACTCTCGGAGGATGGTGGGGACTGTGATCTCCGTGGCTAAATTCGTCAGTATTTCCAATTTAATCAGCTTCACGTCCAGCGGATCATCGGAGAACACGTAAAAAGAGCGCTGATATGGTTCGAACAAATTGTGATGGTTTATCGTCAAACTGGCGATGATACACAGGATAACGTATTGGGTTTCGCTGTGGGATGTGGCAAAGAAAACAACTGTTGGAAAAGTATATGAAGAAAAAACCGAAATTCCTCGTCGAAATCAAGTACCAAACGCCAACGCGACCAGATCTGTCTTAGCTATCACCATTAACCCCGTGATAAACAGAAGTCAAAAATAAATAAGAAGAGAGTGAGAGCAAGTTGGTAACCTGCCGAAGTTCGTCTGGTCGATACAGTGTGAAAACTTTTAAACGGGATATATCATTCAACTGCAGAAGACGGATGTCTACGATGAGAAAAGCTAGTTTTACCCTTTTCTGGAGGGCCAGTAAGAAACAGCGCACCACTACAGGAGTATCAACAGCCAAGTCATCAAGCAGCAAACGGCAAAGATCTCAGGTGTAGGCGGCTATGAAATAAAGGAGATGGCACCAAGATGTTAGGGCTGAAGCCCTGAGTATCGCTAGTACACTGAGGTATTTGAATGATCACGGAGCAATCACACAGCAAGCCGGGAGGAGTAGACATCTGAGATCAATATAATCCGAGGATGAACCACAACAGAAGTGTTAGGACAAGGAGAACGTAAACCAGGATGATAGGGAGCAACGGGCTCTGACAATATTTTATTTAACATATGATAAAAATAAAGTTGGACGCGTTTTGAGAAGGGTTGAAATAAAACGTGGAGAAAAAGTGAAAAAGCTTTAGCTGAATTACAATACCTCTGCACATCAAGCAGGGAGAATAAAAACTGTGAGGGCAATGGAGGACAGGCTGTTATCCGATGCACGATAAGGCCATCATGCACGGATTTCGAAGATCCTTAACTGACGGCCATGTTGTAGTGAGAACCCGCCAGCAGTATGTGACACAAAATAAACAAACTTGACCGAAGCAGAAAACGTAATGAGGGCAATGGATGTAAAGTGAAAAAACGGCGCAAATGCGATGGCAATACCACAACTTTCTGTTCGCCTTGGCGAAGACTCGCAAAATTTCCTCTAAAGATAAGATTGACAGTTAGCTGAAACTTGTGCCATAAACACTACGTGAAAATAGATGCCCCGAGAAATCCATAGCAGCATGAAAAACGGTGAGAAACGATTGACGGATGTCCCGCAGAAAAAGGAGACCAAAAGGAGAGAAGGTTCTGCCGCCGTCTTCGCCAGATTGTAAAGTAGTGTTACTACGCGGCCGAACTTACTTCACCAAGTTAGGGAGCTGCTGTGTAAATCTATCTTAAGCAAGCCATCCCACAAGTAAGCGTGCGTTTACGTGTTTCAATGTGCTTGCAGTAGCAGTAGGTGTATTGCTATAACTGACAAAATGCTGTCGACCAAGATTTGAAAACGCATTCCATGCAAATGGTCGCGAATGACCCCAGGCTGCGGGCTAGCTGTGCTTTTCAGCACATTTTAGACTGTTTGACATGCAAAAAACTTCTCGAATGGTTCAGGATAATTGATAGGCAGAGCAACGCTAGCCTACTTTAGTTTTGTGAAGCTTCAGCCATTCGGTGGTTGAAACCCACTGTTTGTAAACAGACAGCAATCAAGACAGTCTGACACTACTTTGATGAGATACTTTGATTGTTTAAAAGTTAGGTTGCATGAGCTTGAACGTTGTTTCCTATTGCACAGCTGGTGAAAATATGCCAAGTAATTGAAATGCAGGATATTCGGTTGTAATGCTGTTCCTTCTTGCTATCTTAATGTGGGTGACTGTGTCAAAATGTATACGCAGCAGAATCGTTGCGAGCTTGTAACGAACGCTATATATCACGGGATCATCGAACGGCTCCAAGCAGAACACGGTCAGGACTGTGTTCTCAAAATGGCTGTCAGAACCCGGCAAAATCAAATAGAACACCAGTATATAACAGTCGGCAAGCGCTAGGCAATGAGCAGCAGAATGCTGGGATCGCAGTAGCCCGTGAGAAAATAAAGAGTATAGTAAGTCGCGCCGTTACGACAGTATACTCGTAGCCATTTACATGTTTCGTATATCGAGAGCCAAGTTAACAGCAAAGGCAAAAGATTCAAGGAGTTGTAACAACTTCCTAGCATCAAAGTGATGCAGCGACCTGAGCATCGTGGAAACTGGTGTGGGATCGACTGGTCCGGTGTAGCACACTTGGACGTTCTACCAATCTAAACCAAGTACTGGTAAGGAAGTAGAAGTTGAAGAAAATAATTTGTAAATTAAGGGAAAGTAATGCTTATGGTTTCTCATGCAAGCTCCGTTCTGCTTCTACGTTTAGTTACCTCGCAGGTATACCCTCCGAAAAGCGCGCTTTATAAGAATTTGCAATATGTAAGACGTACGTGTTGTTGTGCAGACAACGGACGAAAGCTTTTGCCACGGCCGGGTAGTCTCCAGTGGACTCCAGCGCTAAAAGTAGTTTGCCAACGGCCACGACTACCTAGGAGAGATAAAGTGTTATGTTACGTATCGAACCGTGGAAGGACGGTGATTTTTAAGGCGAACTGAGAATGTAAGAAACAGGTATAAGGGACTGCAGAACAGGATATGCAACAAACGACGGAGCGAATCATGGATTAATTACTATCATCAAAAGTAAATGAAACAACCATGTGGGAGACAAAATCGGTGCTCAGAAAACGCAAGAGGCATTTGTTATGGAACGTTAACACAGAGACAGAGAGGTAAAAATGTAGAGAATGCTGGAAAGCTACGTTCTGAGAGTTTGGGGCCGAACACAGACCAACAAGCTTCTGTGTCGCTCATTCAGCGATCCGATCGGAGGAACAGCGGTGAAGAGACATCGGCGCGAAATATCCATGTTTCTGAGCAAAATGAGGGTTGTACAGTGGCGCGCAAACATCGACAGATAAGCTCATAATTGTGAGTGGATGAGGCTACGAACAACGACATGAGAGCTATCAAGCTGGATGTGATGCAACAGTTTGGCTGCGCGAACTGAATAACCACTCCAAGTGGCTGTTTAGTGATAATCAGCATCGGCGGCATGTCAATGCAGCCGTGTAAAACAGTGGCTTGTGTTTTGAAGGCGCAAAATGCATGGTAAAGAATGAGACACCCTACATCCGAAACGCAGAAATAATGAACGGAAACAAAAAGCAGGAAAACTTTGGCTGGCACACACGCCGTGTGTTCAGTGCCGGACACCGTCAGTTGGACAAGATAGTTCTGTGAAATCGGGTGTGAGCCACAGCTAGAGTAACAGCACAAATAGCGACCAATGGACACACACTGTTGTGCCGGTGTAGAGAGAAGTGGCTCAGCTGCAGACTCTTGATGAAAAAGTTCCAAAAGATTTGTAGTTTGGGTCAGGGCGTGAACATAATATGGCACGTATCGGAAGATAGAGGTGCAATGGCTACGAATAATAAGCCGAGCAACGCCACTTAAGAGAAAGGGAACGACGGAATCCTTATCACATACTGGTTACTAATCGTTCGGGTATTGCGAGCAACCGCGTCATGAAGCGCTACCAAGCGATGTATCGTGGCAAGCCAGAACCAGCCAGTGGAATTGCAAAAGGATAGCACAGCAGTGATTCGAACAACTTAGAGACCTACAATGTATCCTATGGAAATCAATCCGAGGAAACCACGAAAATGACAAGGCGGTTGCATATGCAATGACTAGACCCCCATCTGTAGGCGGCTTGTGACTCAGGCTGTCTGGCATCAGTGTACCATTGTGAAAACCAAATGGGTACAATACAAACGAGAGAAAAAAGCGGTGATGTAAAAAGGATCAGCAGCAAACTTATTCTGAATCAGTACCCCCGAATACAGAACAGATTTCCAGACGACATCTGTAGCAACATACTGGAGTACATCTTCCGTAGAAAGCTTGACAAATACCTTACAGTCTGCAATGTACTTAGCTTTATAGGCTGCTGAACAACTATTTATCAAGCACATGAGCCAGAGCAAGGCAGTGTATAACCGAAGGTTGCAGATGATGGTATAAGACGGATGAAAAAACAGCTACCAATTCACAATTTACCTTTGTCTTCCATTGTAAATCCCGATTCTGCCTGATCGGAAGGATCATCTCTGAGTAGTGGCCCCACTGGCAACGCCAAGAGGTCGGTCATCCAGGCTTTAGTTTATCCCCCTCAGACCATCTTGACTATTAATACTTTCCATTGATTTTGTTTGGCTACACTGCTACTATGGTTCGACTACTGGCAAATTGGTTGGCTGGATTCTCAAATCCAGTTAACTATCTCTTCACTCATAACCTTACTTGGGCTTCATCTGCTTGCGCTCTTGTCATTCGCCTTTGGAACCACTGACGTGTTGGTAGGTTGGACACCGAAATCCTCTCAATATGACCTCGACCTACTGCTTGGATACATAGCTAAAAGAATAACAAACGTACTGACTGGTAAGACTGACACTTAAACCCAGTGTAACATATTGTACATGGTTCGTTCACCTTCTTCTAGCCCCATCAGCCGCCATATCCAAGTTCCAGACACGGTCGGTATAACAAGTTGGTCTTTTGCATTCTCTTTATTGTTATAACACCCAATCGTCCTGAAGATGCAGCACTGCGTTAACTAGTCACAAACGATGCTCTCCATACAGACGTTCAATAGATTAGCCGAAAGATTTCAGGTTCGTTAGCCTGCAGAAATTTGTACTAGATCTTCCGATAAACCAGATCGATTCCGCTGTAAATTTTGTATACAGGAGTCCAATAACTCACTGTTACATCAGCTCCGATCCAATGCTATTTTCAAATAAACATCGTCTTCTGAAATTCCCTATGCATGACATGACTTACAATCAATCCACTTATGAATTTTACTGCTTCCCGGAGCGCAATTCATTCCGACGGTTTGATGAAACGACTATTATCAACACAGGATACATTTTCGGAGATATCTAGTTGTTGTCTGGGAGAAAACGGAATCGAAATTTCTCGCCGTTGGAAAACAAACGGTGTAGTACACTAACAGTGTTGAATGAAACTCGTACCTAATGATCGGAGCAGGAGTAGTAGTTGGACCGTGACTCGCATTACTGAGAGATGTATTGTTATCGCTATTATTAGTAATATCATTATTTTTTGAAAACACCAGGTCAACCGAAAGAAGAGTAAATGTTAAGGTCACCGTCGTCCGAATAAACATAGGCAAACAAATCTCTGGATGGATAAGTGGAAGATGGAACGTAAACAAAATCTGTGACAAATTGGTAAATAGACTGCCTGCCGTCTCATCTAAATTCCATAGCAAAAAGGCGCATCGTTGAATAAATCTCTGGTGTGTTCTTCAAAACACGAGCATCGATGATAAACCATGAATCCGAAGGGATGGTCACAATAGCAAACACAAAGCCCAACTGGTTTGTGGCGAAACAAACAGTACACTGAGTCTGTGACTAGCATGCTCATAATTACCGATCTCTAAGTCGATAGTTATGGTACAACGTGTCAAAATAGTTATCAACAGCAGGGGACCTACCTGAACTTGACACAAACAACATAACGAGTACGAGTCGTCAACATTATCGAAACAAATTAGCCGTGGAGGTGAAATACACCTCAGCTAGTGTCGCAATACAAAAAGAACACAGTATAAAAATATGCAAAAAGTGAGTAGTATAATGTTAAATATTAAATGACCTATTAGATATGATACGTGAGTAAAACAATAACAGTCAACCCAGAGCACTGGGTCAAAGTATGGCTACGGCGGGATTGACTCACAAACGTGTAAAAATCCGACGACTAAGAGAAGTGATCAGTTAATTCGATACAAGCGAGGAGGTACGAACTAAGTGGGAACTGTAACTGGTCATAATCCGCAATACGACTTAAACGATTTGTCGCAAAGATCAGAAATTGGACGCAAAGGTTGCAGAGCAATCAGACTAACCGCTGTGTTCTGACTATGTAGTAATAAGCGAGCAGGATGCAGGAGGAGATTCATATCCGACTGCAAAAGTGAAAGTGCATCTTTCGTAGGGTACGTTTCAACGCTATCCGGTAAACTGCATACATCGGCCGGATAAGCGGACTCTAGCAACCGTTGGGGTGAGCTCTGCGGAGTAGAATCTGTTTCAACCGGGTTGCATATTGGGGTTGGTTCGGGTGCATTCTGGAAAAAAAAGAAAGCATCCATAACATACGGTGAGAAAAATAAAAAAGGCGTGAGTGCAGTTTTAAGCGTGGTATCAGATTGACTCCCATTAAAAATAATCTCATAAGTGAATTATGAGATCGTTTCAAGGTTATAACATTGGATTACCTGTGACAATTGGCAGCGCACGGCCATTTCTTCGATGACGAGTCAAAAGCCATAGATAAGGATACCACTTCGGGACCTACATCCATATGGGCCGCGCAAAAAAGGCCACCGCACTAGCTAAATATGTGTGCAATTGGGATTTTGTATATATATATATATATATATATATATATATATATATATATATATATATACGGTTGGCGGCATCCGGTTTCGGATTTGCCTGTCACTGTGACAAGCCACAGGACGCCTGCGCCTACAGAGGACCATGGGTGGCTTGCGCTGCACCACCCACAGCTCCAACCACACACCCCATATCCAGTGTAAACCCGAAGGAATAAGACCGGGAGGCATGTGGATGGGAACCACGTTTCACCAACGGAGCCGGCCCACACTCCTTCAACAGGCAAGCAAAAGCATTCTCTACTTGGGGAATCAAGCGCACACAAGGCGGTGGCTGGACCGTAGTCCGCTCCACACTGAGTGCATGGAACCGCTCTTTGAGCCTAGCACCGCCACAAGAACCGTGCACCCTGTCCCCTCCAGCAACGACCAACTGTCTCCTGGAGCCAGTATGAACGAGGTAGTGGGTAATAGACAGGTAGGCACCTTGTCAACATACACATCAAGCGCAGCCACAAAGGGGATATCAAACAACAGCCATTCACTTTAAACGACAAGCTGAAATAAAATAAATCCAATAATGCATACAGATACGGTGGCATAACTCTACGCTAAATTACCATTTCAAGTAAGTAGGTTAGCAACGAATCCGTGACAAGTAAGAAATGTCCACAAGTTACTTAAAAATGCTACAAACGCAACAAAATTACCGAAGATAAGCGCAATTAGCGTAAGCAACGTGGCCAGTTAATAGAACATTATTCAGGTAGGCAGAACAAACCAAAAAAAGTGGAATGAAATGTATCCAACTTAAAAAGACCTAGTTTAAGTGAAAGTTGGTTTAGCCCAACTGCGGTAAAGAAGCATCATGAATGCAACTTCAGCCTCAGCATGGGGCACTGTATATATATATATATACATATATATATTATATATACATATATATACATATATGTGCCCCTAATGCTGAGGCTGATGTTGCATTCTTGATGCTTCTTCACCGCAGTTGGGCTAAAACCAACTTACACTTAAACTAGGTCCTTTTAAGCTGGATAAATTTCATTCTGCTTTATTAGGTTTGTTCTGCCTCCCCTGAATAATGTTCTATTAACTGGCCACGTTGCTTACGCTTACTGCGCTTATCTTCGGTAATTTTGTTGCGTTTGTAGCATTTTTAAGTAACTTGTGGACATTTCTTACTTATCACGGATTTGTTGCTAACCAACTTACTTCATATGGTAATTTAGCGAAGAGTTATGCCACCGTATCTGTATGCATTATTGGATTTATTTTATTTCAGCTTGTCGTTTAAAGTGAATGGCTGTTGCTTGATATCCCTGGTGTGGCTGCGCTTGATGTGCATGTTGACAAGGTGCCTACCTGTCTATTACCCACTACCTCGTCCATACTGGCTCCAGGAGACAGTTGGTCGTTGCTGGAGGGGACGGGGTGCACGGTCCTTGTGGCCGTGCTAGGCTCGAAGAGCGGTTCCATGCACTCAGTGTGGAGCGGACTACGGTCCAGCCACCGCCTTGTGTGCGCTTGATTCCCCAAATACAGCGTGCTTGTGTTTGCCTGTGAAGGAGTGTGGGCCGGCTCCGTTGATGAAACGTGGTTCCCATCCGCATGCCTCCCGGTCTTATTCCTTCGGGTTTACACTGGATATGGGGTGTGTGGTTGGAGCTGTGGGTGGTGCAGCGCAAGCCATCCATGGTCCCTCTTTAGGCGCAGGCGTCCTGCGGCTGGCCACGATGACAGGCAAATCCGAAACCGGATGCCGCCAACCATTATATATATATATATATATATGTAAATGTACGTATATGTATACATATGGGTAGAGCCTATGGATAATGCCTATGGTGCGCTGAGGCTGGTGGTGGCTAGATCCTGACAGATGGTCTACCCACTGCTGCTACTGTTGCGCGATATTCTCATGTCCTGGGCGCCTCCTTGTGGCGACCGCTGGGTGGGAGTTAGGTTTTGCACTTCTCCTTGCAAAATCCAGGACATTAATCCGCATGAGTCAGCTAACTGACCATGTGCTAGACCCGCTACCATTCGGGTGTTCATTTAATCGAAGGCTTTGGCTGAGGACCCGGGTCGTTCTCCTGTCAGGATTGGGCGCCCTGGCAGTATCCTAGTCCATCCTCTTCGGAGGTTAGGAAGTGGTCGATGGCCCACTCCCCGTAAAACCTAGCCATGGGAGACAACAGGTTTACGGGTTATATTCTCAATGCTCGATTGGCGTAGAGCACGAGTGCCACGCATTGTCTCTGACGGTGGGAGGACACCTCCGGGTGTTCAATGGTTTGCTACTGCCGGTCTCAAGCCAGGCAGCCCCTGGTCAAATTAGTGCAAATCCGCCAAAAACGCACCTGCGTCTGGCCGTGGTCGCAGTTGCGTACACTACTATGGTCGCAAAACATATGATAATTGTTCCATTATCTCAAAGCCTAAGTGTGACGGCCGTCAAGCAGTTCCCAATCTGTCTCTGCAATCACATTCCCGAGCTGGATCTGCTCTCCTTTTGCCTTGTGGGTCAGGCTATTGAGCCATAGCTCCGGGTGGAGTCCCTCAAGCAAACCTCCGAAGCACAACGACCACCTCGCGTGCGATTGCCCACCAATGCAATCGTATGCCTGCGCGCAAAGCACTCAGTATCGGGTGCTGGAACGTGCGCACACTACTGGACCGGAACTCCAGCGAGCGCCCGGAGCGACGCACTGCACTGGTCGCAATGGAGCTGGCGCGCTACAACATCGATATTGCGGCGCTCAGTGAAACTCGGCTCGCTGAGCAAGGTAAGTTACATGAAGCAGGTGCTGGTTACACATTCTACTGGGTGGGGAACGCCGCCTCAGCACCACGTGAACATGGGGTCGGATTTGCAATATCCGATCGCCTGAATGGCCAGCTGGTGGGTGAACCAACGGGCATCAGCGCGCGACTGATGACTGTTCGCCTACGACTCGGAAGAGGTAAGTTTGCTACTTTTATAAGCACGTACGGTCCGACCACGTGTTATCCTGATGACACGCGTGATCAGTTCTACACTGAGCTATCCTCCGTGATACGGTCTGTGCCGAGGAGCGACCGACTATTTCTGCTGGGTGATTTCAACGCGCGCGTTGGGCGTGATGCCATCAGCGTGGACAGATGTTATCGGTGCGCATGGCATTGGTTCAGCGAATGCGAACGGTGACAGACTGCTCTCACTGTGTGCCACTCACGGCCTGACGATCACGAACCCTCGGTTTGCACTGAGTGCGAGTGCTATAGCAACTTGGACGCACCCACGGAGTGGTCACGCTCACCTGCTCGACTATGTCATCGTACGTCAGCGTGATATGCGTGAAGTGCGCATGATACGTGTACTGCGTGGAGCTGAGTGTGGCACTGATCACAAATTGGTTCGGACCAAACTGTACATATATTTTCGTAAATCAATGTATTGCACTTCCGCCGTGAATCGGCGTAAATTTAACATTCTCTCCCTCGGTACTGTGGCGAAACGTACTGAGCTGGAGAAGGCGATGGCTGCACGCCTGTGTGGTGATGTGGACTGCATAGCCACAGTGGGCGACCTGTGGCACCACATTCGCGACCAGATGACAGCTGCTGCCGAGGAGACCATCGGGCGCGCAAACTGTAAACGGCCCGATTGGTTTGGTGACAACAATGTGACGATTGACGCATTGGTGTCAGAGAAGAATGCAGCATTTGCTGCACATGTGGCAGATCCCAGTGACTTGGGGAAGAGTAGTCAGTTTCGCAAACTTCGACGGCGACTGACCCGAGAGCTCCGTCGCATTAAAAATGCATGGTGGACGGAGAAGGCGAAGCAGATGGAATGCTACGCCGAACGCCGTAAACACAAGGAATTCTTTGACTCCTTGAAGGCGGTGTATGGACCGAGATTGGAGCCGATGAGGACACTGATCGATGGTAGTTCAGGCGCTACCTGCACCCAGACTGCAGACATAATGCAGGTCTGGCGGAAACACTTTGACTGTCTCTTGAACAACCGTTCAGAGATTGACTGGCCTACATTGAATGGCCTGAAGCAGCACGATGTGAAGGCGGATCTGGCGGATACGCCGACAATGGATGAGACGCAGAGAGCACTTGCTCAGCTGCGAAACGGCAAATCTGCCGGGGATGACGGGATCCCACCTGAAGTATTGAAACACGGTGGACCCGCGTTGTTGACTGCGCTGCACCACTTGGTGCAACGTGTATGGGTTGAGGAGGAGGTGCCTGCTGAGCTGAAGGATGCCCTTGTGCTACCACTGTACAAGGGCAAAGGTAGCAAGCAATGTTGCACGAATTATCGTGGCATCAACTTGCTGAGTTGTGTGGGCAAGGTGATTGCCCGAATCCTGCTCAACCGTCTCGTCAGTCTGGTTGTGGAACCGAACGTGGCGGAAGAGCAATGTGGATTCCGTTCGGGTCGCAGCACTATAGATAGGGTGTATGCGGCTCGTCAGTTGCAGGAGAAGTGCAGAGAACGACACCAGCCTTTGTACTCGCTTTTGTTGATTTTACCAAAGAGTTGCTAGAGTGAACCGCGAGGCATTGTGGCTGGCATTGGTTAAGTTTGGTTGAGTGAGTAAATGTGTTTAATTGAATCTCTGCGTAGTGGTATGAGGGCAACGGTGCAGCTGAGTGGACAGATTTCGGATGACTGCAGCTGTCCCTGGTGTGAAGAAAGGCTGTGTCTTAGC